TCAAGATCGAGTTTAATAAGGGAGCCTCAGTCTGTATACACATGGACTCTGGACAAAAACTGCTCAAACTCCCTCAGGACTTTCCCTTTTGGAGACACTTTAATGCTGAATAGGCAGCTACCTGGAGCTTGAGCACGTTATGCTGATATTTTTTTTTATTGTCATCACTTTTTTTTTTTTTTTAATAAAAACAGTTTTTGGAGTTTTAGTCCTACTGAAGCTGAGTCACAAGCTTCTTTTATAAATTTAAATTATTAGCCTGCTGCTTACATAGGAATTTCAATCAAGCACCTTTAATTACATCTAGAAAAATATAACCTAGTGGTGAGCTATACTTAAATTGTCAAAAACATTTCCCGCCTACACTCTGTACTCTCAAACTCTGTATTGTGTATGCTCTGTTTGTGGTCATTTGTATTGTTTGTTTCTGTAATTTGGACCACAAATAAGTGGAGATTCGTAAGACTGACGACACACAATAGTGCAACTCAACACATACACAGGGTGAAAAAGCTAAAGAACTAAAACGGGTTCTTTCTTCCAATGCAAAAGTCTTTAAAAGCAACAAAAACAGGTATGTCATTTTAATTAAAATTCTTGCAAGTTGAATTTTTTGTAAACATTTTTTTTATTGTATTTATTTTAAATTTAAAAATGTGTTTTCATGCATTTGCTTTGTGAGAAAAAAGCAGTGTACATTGTAGTTTTGAAAAAAAAAAAAAAAAAGAAAAAGTGAAATATAAAAAAAAGCTATGAAATTAGCTTCGAGTATGAAATGCGAAAAAAGTTAAAAATTAAAAACAAAAATCTTCTGAAGTGATGCCAGCAATTTCCTTATTGAATAATACTGTATTCAAAATTAGCTTTAATTTCTTTTTAAATCCGATTTAAAAAAAAATATTTTTATGAAATGTTTGCATACTCAGTTCTTCTCCAAAGCTTAGTGTGAATTTATTTTCCAAAATTAAAATTTATATTAAGTTACGAAAATTAAGATATGCATTATTAATTTTAACATAAAAAATAAACACCTTTTTCCCAATTAACACATTAATTTATTAATTAAATAAAAAGAATAATGTAGAAAAAACAAAACTGCGTCAATACCATGAAATATTTTGAAATAAAATCTAAATATTATATATTGTTTAGAATAATAACACAAGTTTTATCTAAGAATATAGAATACAATACTAAAATGAAAATAAAAAGTTTTTATTACTGTTTATTAACTGTTTATTATACAACCTTATCCGATTTTCTAGTTCCACGGTCATGCAGACAAGGGAAGTAACTCTAATGTAATATTTTCATCAAAAAGCCACGTTGTTTTGTTGATGAGAAGAAAAATAGCGATATAATTTCTACCAATATATAAGTCAGTTAATGTGATACCATTAACAACGAAAAAATATTTTGGTTTATCTTTAAACGCAAGTAATATTAAGCACCTTATTGGTTCCACAAAAACCGACTACTTCGTTTTCCAAATTTTTCCAGGTTTTTCTTTTATTATATTTCAATTTTCATTATTACTTTCTTTGTGAATTATTGTACATCTCTCTTAAGTTTTTTACTCGTATATAAAATTTATAAATTATTGCCGTTTTAAAATTTAAAGCGATACAGTTGAATGAATTGTAATTATTAGGTCGTAAGAATCGGTGAAAAATTAAAAAGAAAAACAGGTAAAAATTGCTGGATTTCAGCTATATTTAAAAAAAAAAAAAAAGCATATATTTTCAACAGGAATTCTTTTAGCAATAAAGAAAAGAATAAAACTTAGTTATAGAATTATTTTCATTGATAGAACCAAGCACTGGGAACATTTAATGAGTCAATGTCAATATAACAGTGAACACTCAATGTGTAGTAAAAATACATTTTTTTTTTTGTTGTTTAACAACGTTATCATTAATCTTCTGTCAATTAAGAAGAGTAAGACTATATGAATATGTGTAACTTATAATTTTTTTCACACTTTAAAATTATTATGGAATTTGTTTTAAGAATAATAATAATAAAAAGGACAGGTGTTTGTCAAATAGGGAAAAAAATCAGCTTACTTTAAAACGCACGACAAAAGAATTTCAAAACAAAAAACAATTGTCTGCTTCAGTTATTCAAAAAATTATTTCATGAAGATAAAATTTTTTAAACTGTCTTTTCTTTGTAATTAAAAAAATCTTTGTTAAAAAGTCGGGGTTATGGCTAGATGAGTGTTAGCTGTCACTTTCTCAGGTAACAAAAAAGATTTTACTTGCATCCTTATTATTAGTGTTCCATACTCAGATAGGTATTTACTTGACTCCCACAAGGTCAAGATGTGACAAGGTCGTTTAACGTGGGAAACCCGAGTGTTTCCACTCGAAGGCAACTGGTCAAAGCATGTCCAAGCTGGTCAGAGCCTAGTCCAAGCTGGTCATGACTAGCAAGTCCAGGCCGGAGCCAGTCCAAGCTAGTCGAAGCCTTGATCGAATCTCAGCCTAAGGGCAAGAAACGATCCAATATTTGTCAAAACCCCCAGCATAACGCCAGGTAAGTATGTTCCATACTCAGATAAGGAAGAAGTGCTTAAGCTGTGACTTGTATAATGATATGCTGTCACTGACTTCCTTCCTTCCCGGCCTCTATAAGGTTTCAATTCGCAAACCACTCACTCTAAGGACTGATAGGTTGATGTGCAAATAACCTGTTTGCTCCCTTCACCAGTGGGACGTTCGTGGTTACATCGTTGACAAAATTTCACACATTAAAATAGCATAGCAATGTAGTTCACGTAGAAGCGTTTCCACCTTTTCCTTTTTTAAGTGGACACGAAAATCCCAGGATTTTTAAAAAGATTCTTTCACAAGCAGAGCGAAAACGATGTAAGCTTCGGCACCTTCACTTGTTTTTAAACAATTTTTACACAACAAACGAGAAAAGTTATGAAATATAAATGTTTTACTTAGTGACTTATTTATAATGTAGTGACTAAAATTTCAAAGTAATTTTTTTTTAGCCTTTGAAAACTTGACAAGAGACAGAATCAAGGTGTATTATTATGGTCTGGAGCAGTAAAATATTTCATCCTGAAAAGTAGTTCAACCACACGTTTGTTAATCAAATATTGATAATCTTTAAATAAAATTAGTTTTATTTATTTATTTAAAATAAGTGTTTCAGAGAATATAAAAATTTTTTAGGTTTCTTTCTTTCTTTTCACTCTCCTACCAACTTCTTGTGCCAGACACAAAATTTAGTTGGCAGAATAAACGATAACTGCCGTTAGTAGGCGCGAGTTAAAAATACAAGACAAATCACTGCGTAAAATTTTAAAACAGGAAAAAACATTTATTATACAATTACTTTTAATCACAAAGGTACAAACAAGGACAAGAAAGGTTGCACAAAAATTTCCTTCTGTGCGCCTAACATGGCAGGATAACAATATTTTCCTGGGGTTTCTAAAAAGGAAATACCCACAGAAACAAGCTATGAAATTAATAATTGTTTACTTTAACTCCGGTTTTTGAAAATTCAGACCCTTCAAAAATACAAAAAACACCGAAAGAAGGGATAAAGTTTTCAGACCCTTCAAAATTACAAAAAACACCAAAAGAAGGGGTAAAGTTTTCAGACTCCTTAAATACGAAAAAAAAGGGACAAAGTTTTAGAGCTTTTACAAAAGTACATAAAAGGGACAGAGTTTTTAGAGAGACCAACACATAGCAGAACGCAAGGCACCCACCTCCTGCCTTCGAAGGATTTTCATTGACAGCAGGCCGGATTGGTTTGGAAAAGGTTGATTTATGGCCCACTTGCCAGTCAATGTAGAGTGATGGTGTTAAGTGGTCTGCGAACTGCGTGTCGTCTCTGCTTCTGTTCCCTTTCGTTATTTTTTGCTTCTCTTGATCGTTTCTTAACGTCCTCTCTTTTATTTGAAAAAAATCGGCTCCACTCGGGGCCATCCGGGAATCTCTACGGGCCTTGAAAACTCAATTTTGATTGGCCAATATATGAAAAATGCCCTTCTACAAATTTCACTTTTGGCGGCTATTCCTGATCAGAGTTTGGCAACAAAATTGGCGGCAAATCTTGATCCGAAATGGTCATAAAAATTGCACAGTTTTTTCTTTTTACGTGTGTAAAAGACCGTCTAGGTGTTTTACGTGTGTAAAAGTGTGTAAGACCGTCTAGGTGGTTTTTTTTTTTTACACACACCTTCCTCAAAAGACGTGTAAATAAATAAAAAAAAAAAAACACCTAGACGGTCTTACATTTAAATTGACATTTTTTTTTAATTCTTTCTTTAAATAAAAATAAAATTTTTATAAGAATATTGTGAAAAAGCTGTTAATATTTTTATCTCTGCATTTGCTAAAATTTGAAAACATGTGATATACTACACAATAAAAATATTTTCTTTTCACTCATATGAGGACAAAAATCTAAATTCTAACTCTAAACATAACAAATACACCCTGAAGAAATCAATTTTAACATGGAATTATAACTTTTTTTGCCAAAATTATGAAATGTCTTCATTCAACAAGTTAGTGAACATCATAATTGTGTTTATACTCAACAAAGGCCACTTATCTAGTGAAAGATTATTTCTTGTTTTAGTTCTATGATCTTACCACTTTTTGCAAACAAGTAATAAGAAATTGTCACTGTTTTGAAATTTCATTATTTTTTTTTAATTACTTAATAGTTATAAATGAAAAGTCAAAATGTTAGTTTTTAAATAAAACTAAATAAATTTAATTTTTTTTTATCAATTGTAATAAACAAATTTCAATAGTGTGGGCAATTTTGTATAAAGCATAAAAACCGGTTACTCAAAATTGTTTGAGATTAATTTATAATATCCATCCTTGAAGAAAATCCTTGGTAAAAAATTCTGATATTTTTACTTTGTATTTTGTTTTTCTAGAAATTAAATGGATTATATATATTCACCTGAGGATTTCAATTTTACCCTTGACAACCACTTGGAATACAAACAAGTTTCTATGAGTAAGGTAAGTAAAGTAGAACAATTTTGATTTCTTATGTGTATGTGTGTGTTTCATCAAAGATGACAGACAAGGTATTGCAATTGAGATTTTTATTTAATTATTTCTTGTGTTCAAACAAGTGTTTCCTTTTCTGGACACTGTGTGAAGAAACTGTAAATGTTCTGTAATTCCAAGCACTTTCAACTATACTCTTACTTTTACTTATAAGGATGATTTTAATTTTGCTTTTTAACTGGATGTATGGTTTGTGTGTATGTTTCTAGAGTTATATAGGGATGTTTTATTTTTCAAACACAGCACATTTTGGTCATGTTTGTAGTTAATATTATTGAGTGTTGGCTTTTTCTTTTTTATTATTAAGGCTTCCATTATTTTTAATCTTTTTTTACACGTGAATGAGGTTATTATGTTTGTATTTTCTACTACAGTGTAACCCGGATATAAGAGAGTTGTCGGGATCGGAGAAGAAGTCTCTTATATCCGGGTTTGGTCTATTTTATATACATTAACACAGGCTCTAATTTGGGACCAGAGAAAATCTCTCTTATATCCGGGTTTCTCTTATATCCGGGTCTCTTTTATCCGGGTTACACTGTAGTATGTTTCGGATGGAGTCTGGTAAGTTTGTGTGTGTGTTTAAATGGGTTCTGATAGAGCTGTGGTCAGATAGGTGTAATGTAAGGCATCTGGATAGGCAGGTAGTAGTGTGACCGATGTAATTATTTATGAATGTGGTTTGAACAAGAACACAGTTCCTTTATAATTTCAAATGTCCCTTAAGTACCTTGTCTGCCTTCTTTAATGAAACATGTATAAATGAAGGATTGCTGCTTAAATACAGTATATATATATATATATATATATATATATATATTTGTTTCATTAAAGACAATAGACAAGGTGCTAGGATAAGCTTTTTATTTAATTTTTCTTGTGTTCGAACAAGTGTTTTCTTTTCTGGATACAGAGTGTGTAGAAACTGTTTCTACAAAAGCCAAATGCACATCAACTATGAACAAGATGAATCTTCTCTTAGAAATATTATAAAGAAATACATTACTCCAGTTACAAACAAATTAAATTATCTATTACAAAAATTTAAAACAGCTAATCTTATCTTCAAAAATAACAACACACATGAAAAATCAAAACTGTAACTATTTACAAGTTCAAATTCCCATAAGGGACTCTGTTACTGAGCAAATTGAATTCATAAGTAATTATACTGGTCACACTACTACATGCCTATCCAGATGACTTATGTTACATCTATCTGAGTACAGCTCCATCAGAATCCATTTAAGCACACACACACACACACACACAAACTTACCAGACTCCATCTGAAACATGCTAGTATAAAATACAACTATAATAACTTCATCCACATGTGAAAAAGATTAAAAATAATGGAGGCCTTAATAATAAAAAAGAAAATGCTAACACTCAATAATATTAACTATAGTCGGCACATTGTGGCTGTGTTCAGAAAATAAAACATCCCTATAACTCTAGAACACACTACCCATACATCTAGTTAAAAAGCAAAAATAAAAAACATCCTTTATAATAGCTAAAAGTATAACTGAAAGTGCTTGGAATTACAGAACATTTGGATAGTTTCTATGTGCTATGTGTCCAGAAAAGAAAACACCTGTTCAAGCACAAGAAAAATTAAATAAAAAGCACTACCTTGTCTGTCATCGTTAATGAAACATGTATAAATGAGTGTTTGCTGCCTAAATCCACGATATATATATTAGCAGAGAAAGTTAGTTGTATGCTTTATATAGAATGTAAGTATAGTAGGCCAAAGAAATAATGATAATATCAATTAATATTATTTGTTATATATTATTAGATGAATAAAGGAACTAGAAGCATGATGAGAAAACTGTTAAAAATTGGATCTTTCAAACACACCTGTGTCTTTTCTCAGTGAAAAATAAACTGAAGTTGGACTCTATTTTTGGGGGGGGTAAAAAAAAAATTACCATTTCAAAAAATTGTATTGTGCATGTGCAGATCTGTTGTCAAGTTTGTTGTAATTATTGAATATGTGTATATAATAACAGGTAACATTTGATTGAAGAGACAGCATTTTTTATAAGTTAGTCTATATTGTTTCAAGCTAACTAGGAGATTTTTCTTTAGTATAATTCCCCAATCACTCATTGAGTGGTGGAGATTACAGTTCTCTGGTTGGTGCTGGATGACTTTTGTGTTTGTTGTGTCTGAATGTGTGTACATAGGATTTATTTTACTGATTAAATCCCTGTGTTATTTTTTTTTTGGTTAGTTAAGTATTATTTTTGTCATAATTAGGATCATGTGTGTTGTGGGGTCTCTAATACTAAGAAATATTTTCTTTTTAGCCTTGTGCGGATTTTCTGTAAATCTACCGAGATAAATATCTACAATATGGTTACATGTTGTTGATGTTGAATACTACAACTAAAAATGAATATTTAAAGGTACAGATTGTAAAATAGTAAGTTAATCTTGGGTAGGTGGCTTTTTGTAAAAATTATATTCACATACACTATCTATCTATCTATATATATATATATATATATATATGATAAAACATAGTTTTTATGCTATATTTATGAGTTAAAGTGCTCAGTATCTGTTGTGGCCTGTTAGGGACCAGAAATAAGGACACGGAAAGAAAAAGGTAGGTTGAACAAGTGTATTGAAATAACAGGTATATACAAAGTAAGAGTATTATTAGTCAGGTTACACTGCATTCTGCCTCTTTCGGAAGTCTCGCAGGTTAGTATTTATGAAGGAGCAAGAATTCATTCTAATGTAGATAGGTCACCATACACAACCTCTCCTAAAATCTTAACTCCACAGGAGTCTGAAGAAAAAAATTTTTTTTTTTTCCTTTTTTTATTAAAGTTCTGAGGCTGTAAAAAAGTTTCACAAAAATTAATCTTGAGGAATATTTTTATAGAAAATTTACTAACTTCTGAGTGGTTTTCTTCCACTTGTTTAATTTATAGAGAAAACAAGCATTTCCTTTTTTACAACTGGCTAGGTACTTAAAACTTAGCTGACTTGTTTTACCAAGTTCAAAGTAGAACAACTTTGAGAACTTTTATTTGTTTGTGATCTCAATACCTTTTACGTTTAGGATTGACAACTATTAAATCAGTTGCTTTCCTTTTTTCTCTTAGAACGGAGCATTTGGAGGGCCGCTAGAGGAGTCAGAATATTGAAAGTGTCGTATATGACACCCATAACTGTTTCCTCAAGAAGCCCGCTATCAGCTTTGTCTGGCACTTCCTAAGTTGGTTGAGATGTCTTTTATACATAAATTGTGGCCCTTTATAATATATACCATGTTCATAATTATTTTTTCGATTGTACCCATCTCCCAAAAAGATTTGTCTTTGAACATTCTGAAAAAAACTTTTTCTCCAGGGTTATATCGTCTTGGAGGTACGATGCTTGTTCTTCCTGGCTTTGTTTGTTTCGGTAGCAATTTATCGAAAACAGACCATATCCAACAGGCAAACATCACCTCGGCTGGAGATTGTGAAGCTGGTGTTTTGCTATTAGGTGTAATTCTGTATACTTGAAGAAATTGTTGAAGGGCTTTTTCAGTTAGTGTAGCCCTAGCTTTTTTCAAAGCTCTCGTCAAAGTATCCACAAATCTCTCAGCCTGTCCATTAGACTCCGGATGGTACAGAGCGGTAGTGATGTGTTCAATCTGATATGTTTCACAGAAGTCTCTAAATTCTCCAGACGTAAACTGACTTCCATTATCGGACACTAATTTCTGTAGTTGGGTTTTTGCATCTGTCTACTTTGGGCCACTTTGAGAAACTGGGAAATGAGGTAGTAATATCCTTCTAGAGGGCCTGCAAAGTAAATGTGAATTCTAGACTAAGGTAGATCCATTTTTGGCCAGGGATTGAATTTAATAGGAGGTGCCTTTGCTACCAAGGCACAACCTTTACATGATTTGACAGCATTTTCTATATCTTTGTCCATGTTTTGCCAATAGACATAGTTACGCATCAAACTTTTCATTTTAGTACTCCCTGGATGGCCAGCATGAAAATCTTTCAAAATACACTTCTGGAGTGTTGACAGAATCATGACGCGTTCCCTGTATAGTAACACCTCGTTGCATATAGAGAAAACATCCGGAGTTCGTTGGTCCTTTTCAAAAATTTTCGCTTTTGTTTGCTTGATATACTCATCATGGAGAACATCTTATCTTATTGTTCAAGTGTCACTGGCAGTTCCCTTACTGTATTACAAAAAGTAGTTTTTAATTCTCCTTCAGATTGAAGGGAGGCAAACACTGTATCTTCCAGTGGTTCTTTGTACTTGGGAATTAGTCTTGACAATCTGTCCGCATGGCTGAATTTTTTTGATGACACTTTCTTCATTTTAAAGTTGTAATTTAACAGGATTGTACATCTGTTGGCTGTGTGAGTAGGCAGACCTTTCTTTGAGCCCAAAATAGTGAGTAGTGGCTTGTGGTCTGTCTGTAGAGTGAAATGTCAATCATAAATATAGTGGTGGAACTTTGCGACTGTGAATATAATCCCACACACCTCTTTTTCAATCTGCGAATATTTTTTTTCCGCAGGCAGCAAAGTTCTCCACGTGTGAGCTATTGGTTTTACTGTTCCATCAGTTATTTTGTGAAGAATGCATGCCCATACGCCATATGAATTAGCGTTGTTGGCAACAATGATTTCCAAGCCTGGGTCATATTGTGTAAGAAATAAGTCTGATGTCAGTGTTTTCTTTATTTTTTCAAATGCCTCCTGGCATTCTGCTGTCCACACCCAGGGCTTGTCTTTCTTTAATAGTTCATTAAGTGTGTGTGTGTGTGGGGGGGGCATGCAAATCATGCATATTTGGCATGAATGCCTGGTAATAATTTGCTACTCCAAGGAAGATCTGCAACGAAACAATGTTATTGTGTGCCGGCATGTCTTTTATCGAAGCAGCCCGTTCAGAATTTGATCTCCTGCCAT